TATAACTCAGTCAGTCGATTTATCGATCTGGTGCCGGCATACTCCCAGTCCTGTGCAGGTATCTCTGGCCTAATGTCATCGGTGGTTGTTTGACCCCCTGCCCCATATAATTATTGCTCGTTTTTTCGTTGACGCTTTTATATCGCACGTTGGATTCCAGTAAGAGTTCGGAAGCTCAGACGAGCAAAACCACGATTCTGGTGATCGACGTGCCTTCTTCTTCTTCTTCTTCTTCTTCTTCTTCTTCTTCTTCTTCTTCTTCTTCGAATTAATTCGAAGAAGCAGAGCATAAGCAAGTCACGTAGGTAAGAATGCGCAGAAAACTTGCCTAGTAGATTTTTGGAAATTCGGACTGGTATGTCCCGAGGAACAAAAGCAGGAGGAAATTTTTTTGATAAAATTCTGAGACGACTAAATGTAGTAATCTTCAAGAATCGAAAATTCGAACTGTAGTGAACAGAAAATTAATGTAGGTGGGGGGTGGGATAGAAGGAAATTGATAAGTGCTGTAAAACGGCATTTAAGATACGGGGGAAGAGAGTACTGCTTGGTTTATTGCATGCCATATTCTATATATAGGAACTAAGACTCTTCTGGTGACTAATCTTTCGCCCTAGTCGCTCCACTCTTTATTTGCATCATTTGGTTTTAGAAGTCCTCTGGATATTTAATATTGTGTGAATTCGGAAAATACGTTGTTTTTAGAGGCATTGGTTTTAAAGGAATAAAAACTGAGCATATATCCAAGATTATACCTCCCCTCACGAAGAAAGCGTCTTCAAAGTATTGCTGCTAGAATGCCGGTGCATAGTGGGGTGAAAATTCGGTATGATAAAGGGGTTTAAGTTCCTTCCTGGCGGTCGAGAGACAGTTGTGAGCCCGTGGGAGGACCTCACAGTCGTTTGCAAGAGTAATCTCTGAGACGGACAGGTCAGGTGAAAAAAACAGAGCTTTGCGGTGGGGTTCCGTGCAGTCAGTTTAATAATTCCTAACGATGTCTTAGGTACCGCTACTTGGAAGCTTCAGCTATTTTCATCCTCTGAAAAGTTGTCTTGTTTATTCACTGTCGACTTCTTACTCACCTCAGTAAACGTGTAATGTTGCCCTATTTTGTCAATTATCACAAGAACTCTCGAGCTCACTTGCATTTCTTCTCTTCTTTTATCAAAGAGATGGAACGACTCTTTATTACAATGGAATCCAAGTGACTACGGCAATGTGACCGAGATTCGACTCTTTCCTCAAGTCATTTGGACACCAGATATTCAATTGTATAACTTGTGAGTGACGGCGCATGAAATACTTTCCTTTAACCTACGTTCACCTTGCCTTGTTTGCAAAGCTGTGGTAAAATTCATAGTTGACTTCTTTACCTCATCCCCGGAAGAGGAAGAAGAAGTGGAGACGATTTCTGGGACCAAAGTGTATTCTGGCTGACGTTTCAAAAGCTTGCTCGCTTCCATCGTCAGAGCGTGGT